ACATGTTAATTTTGCCATCAGAGTGGCAGGATGACGTTTGCCCTAAAGGGGATGACCCACAGCTCCTCTGGCAGGAAGGTTTGGTTATACAGAAATGATGGCGTTATCACTACTTACTTTAGAGACAGGCTTTTTGCTTTTGCAGGCTCGTCTTTCATATTATATAAGATATGCAAGATACCTTTTTTTTTAAAAAAAGTCCCAAATTCTTAATTCCCACTCAGGTAGCCTCAAATCAATTGCTGCGTATTTCAAGTAGCGTGATGTTTCCAGCAAAAACATTTCCCTGATTCCCTGTAAAATAAAACTGCATTTCTTATGAATTAAAGGTAGTTTGCTTAAATGAGGAAAACATCCTGAGGCAATCTTGCCTCTCTCTTCAGAGCACGTTGAGCTTCACCTACATAGAGGTTGAAATCTTGGACAACCCAGCAAGGATATGGACTATTCACTTCTCTTTTTAACAAAGTATGACAGACTCTAATGTCGTATATTGTCTAAGCTATTGGTGTGATATTCTAGCTAAGCAGGTTTAACACTGGTATTTTCACCGTGAGTCTTGCAGGAGAGAGGTTTTTAAAGCTGATGTGCACTCCTTCAGCATCTTATCTGCTAGTGAACTACAGTTAAAATACAAGCTAACACTTCTACGTTTGGTCTCTGGATAACTGCAAAGGGAGAAGTGTGGAAAACTTCATAAAACTACATTAGTACAAAAGATATATTTGATTGCAATTTTAATGTAACTATGTTGCTTAGGTTACTACAATTTTAGACATCTGATAAAATTAAAAAGCTAAGACAAGGAATTAAATGTAAATTTTCTGCTTATAAATGGTCTCAAATTTATAATGTCTTTTTTTCTTTCTTTTCTCTCCTTTTCCTAACAGAGATACACTGTGTCAAGAATAGCCTACTGCTGTCGAGGTGGTTATGTTGCCGTTATATGTGACTGGTAAGAGTAGATGGAAGAACAGCTAAGGTCTCATGTGTCCTGTAGTGGAGAAACAGTTCTCCCTGTTGGATGTCTTAGGTTTTCTCCCAGCCTGAAGTACCTGGTACAGTGGATTTTTGAGTGTCACGGGCATGTCTGTGGTCTTGCAGGAGACCTGCGAGTGCTGATTGTACTTGATCTGAATTTAGGGTTGAGTTATAGCGATATATAAAGCTTTTGAAGAATTTTGTGCTGCTTTTCCTCCCCGTGGGAAATGGCAAGGCTAGGTGCGCGGGGCCCCGGTAGGTTGGGTGCTGTCCGCTCGGGATGTGTTACACCAGAGTGCCCAACATTTGTTGCCATGTTCTGCACCTGTAGATGTTTAAAACTGCAGTATTGCTTCATTTTAAAACCACGGAGAGACTGTTTGAACTCTTAGGTTCAAACATATGTGATTTTATTAAGAGCCAGTGCTAGGGAGCAGCGGGGCCAAGAACGAGGGAACCTTGCTGTCCGACTCGCAGGGAAATGCCTGGTGGGAATGGATAAACATTCTTCCCGTCTCTTTCCACAGCACCTTAAGCCTGCCAAGAAAACTGTTTTAATTTACAGAATCTTGGCCAGAGGAAGGGGAGAGCCTGCTAGAGCCGCCGGTGTGGTGAAATGGGCAGTCTGCCCCGATGAACTCGCTCCTTGCCAGAGCGGGGAGCCCTGGCTTCGCCCTGGCACGCGCCTTGCCAGGCCTAGCAGTTCCGTGCGCGAGCGTCCAGCGCGGCGCTGGAGCGGCCTGGGCAGGGGCTCCGCGTGCGTTAGCGAGCCCTGGTGCGGCGCCGCGCGGCGCCTTACGCTCCTGTTTCCATCTGCAGCTGTTCCACATCCGGACAGCGCTGCCGTGCAGGCGGCGGCACAGGGAGGAGGGAGCCCAGGGCTCCTGCCCCGCCATGCACCTACCTGAGACCTGCGAGGAAGCTGTGTCCGTAGAGGCCTCGTTTGTAGGGGAGTGGGGTGCTCACGGCAGAGGTGGGGATGACACCCTGCAGTTGTGGTGCTCAAATGCTCCTCTTTAACCTGTTCAAGGTCCTTCTCGTTTTAGTCTCCATTCACCAATGTGAAATTCCTTCTGATTTTATTTTTACTGGTGCTCTTTCAGGTTAGGCCCTGTAGGCTGCTTGTGCTATGAAACAACATTTCCTATGGAAACCCTTAATAATCCTTGTAAAATTCCATTTGCTGCCTTTTCTTCTAAAGGAAAGGCAGTCTGACTGCTCTTTCTTTCATATTACATTTGCAAAGCCATTTGACATTGCGGGTATCTTATAGCTCCTGCCTCAGAGCATGTGAGTAAACTTTCCTTGGACTGCTACAGTGGTCTTTGCAATTGCCAGTGATTTGCTTTGGCTGTGTTTGGAATTGGAGTGGGTGGTTGCAGTTTGCTGTCCATGTGATGGTTGTAGGTGGATTTGGTAATTATGATAATTAAGTCTGTTCTCTCAAAAGTATTCCCACAGTCTACATCTTTCAGCTTGATGCCATTGCCCAGCAGCTAGTTTACAGACGTCAAATCTCCCTGGAGCATAAAGGCTGGGACGTTGCTTTTGAGGAAACAGGAGATCTCTGGATTTTGCAGGAAAGCAAGGAAGCCCCTCTTTTGTTGCACAGGCCAGAGGATGGACAGTGGAAGGTAAATGTTTTTCTCACACTAAAATCATAGATGTTTTGCATCATCTTCAGGACACAGTGAAAACAGAACAAACAATGCTCAGAGAAGTTTGCCGTTTAGCTTTCACGTGTCTTAAGTTTATGTCTTAAGATGAAGACTTAAATCTTGGATACATCTCTTCCTACTTCTGTCACAAAAAAGCTACTGCAAAGCTACCGCAGATCTTACGATTAAAAGTCTCATTTCTTACAAAGCTAACGTGTGGAATAGTGGGATCAAGCTGCAGCACTCAATACTTTAAACCATTGTCTTTGCTTTGTCTATGCTACACTTGATGGTTTAAAACAAAACAACAAAATTCCATCCAAAATTTCAACATCTCTAACTTACAAAAAAACCATTGTCTTTGCTTTGTCTATGCTATGATGGTTTAAAATGAAACAACAAAATTCCATCCAAAATTCCAACTTCTCTAACTTACAAAAGAGAAAAAGAATCCCTCGTGGGATCCTGTGGGGAGGGCTGGGTATTCTGACAGCATTAAAGTTGTTAGCATTGAGAACAAGGAGTCAAAGTTAGGTCGTGTGCTACAAGTTCTCTGTAATTGCCTATTAAATAATTGGAAACTCCCTCATTATCCTACCAAGTCCAAAACTAACAGTGGTATAGTTGTGAGGTGATTTTAAATTAAACTTCTAAGTACTTTTTTTATTAAGTGTTTCTGGTGAAGAAAAGGAATTTCACAAATTAGTAAGTGGGAATCCATTTTATTTTCCTTCTGACTGCTGAACTTCGCTAGCAGAATAGGTAAACTCAGGCCAGGTTTCTGTAGTGGTCAGGGAAAGAAGGAGGAGCCTAAGAGATCCTGGAGGTTACACTGCCTCTTCTTACAGTGTGCTCATACGGGAGCTTTTGCATTTTTCAGTGTATTGTGAAATGTCAGATTCCCTGTTCATTATGCTCAAATTACTATGCAGAGTTTCTTTTCTTTTCCAGCCTGTAACTGATGACAAAGGATTGCAGAAGATGTCAAAATATCTTCATGACAACTGGACAATGTTTGAAGGTGAGAAATCTGGCCTAAAGGCCCTGGAACTGCATTTTTACAAATGAAGTACAAGGTTTAGGAACAAGATCAGAAGTTCAGGTCAATTTTGCTGGCTGTTGAAGTTGCTTAGTCTTTCCAGCTTCTTCACTCCATCTGGGATGTCTCTGTAATTCGTAGTCCTTCTGTGGAGATTAGTGTAGATAACAAACACATTTTAATTTGTTACTCTTCTCACAAACTGGTGCAAACGTCTAGATCTGAATTACAGCACTAGAACTGTTTTACTTGGGTACCTTAGCAGAGGGATGCATTGCAAACACCCTGTCACTGTACTGCAGAGGTCTGTCGTACTGCTCTGTCAGCAAGTTCTGGTGCGTTCTTGTATCTTCCCTGGATGTGAAACTACTAAAAGTGCAATGTAGACAGTGGGAACAGAGTGCTCTGGAAGGAACAGGTTCACTGTAAAGATGGCCCTGTCAAGTCAGTCTTGGTAAGGCAGATTATTTGGAACCTAATGTGGTTGAAGGGTTTGACCCTGGAACATCAGATCATCATAGATGAAAGAAATTTATGGCAGAGTTGTTTATTTTTTTTTCTTTGTCCTCAAACCATGGCAGAAAAATAAATGATTTTTTCATTTGGAAGCAAAGTTCCAGGGCTATATATTCAAAAGAACACTGACTTTATTCAGAAGTTGAAATTATGGCAGTGGTGGCTGCAAGGTAGGAAAAGATACATACACATATATTAGTGTATGTCTTACTATCAACTGTATTGAGGGTTGATTAATTAAAATCTCTCCCTCCTGCATATGCTTTGCTGGGAGATCCAGAACCCTCTTAAAAAGGTATAACAGCCACTAGCTTGCTCTCAGCCTGTCCTTGGAGGTCATCCATAACTGTAATTAATCCACACAGACCACAAAGTTGCAGGAAAGAACAGTCTTATTTAAAATGATCTTAATACCTAGTATTGCGTTGTTATGGTTATAGCTGTATTTAGTTGTGCTCTAAAAAATCTAAAAGGAGGCTAAGTGCTTCTTTGGAAGGGGGAATGTTTGCATGTAGGTGTTGTGGATTTGATAGTTACAGCCAAGCAGGTTGTTAAAAGTGTGAAATCTGAGTGAAAATGAACGACAGAGAGGTAAAAAGAACAGGCAGGGGAACGTGTTCTGAGCATAATTTTCCAGCATAGCAAATTACTGTGATCTATTGTAGGCTGCTACATCTGCAGCTGGGCAAGGAGGACTGCTCAGATGACAGGATCTGTTATTGTTAATTAGTGAGAGGAGGCCCACTTGATGAGCACTTACTCCAATTTGTGCTTGAAAAGGTAGTTACTTCACTTACAGAAGGTAATAATTATATTGCTGAAATTCAGTCTTCTTAATGCTTGCATAGCCTCATTTTTTCCTTTTATGAACTTGTTTCATTTGGAGCTTTTAGAGAGGGTCTAGCGTAGAGCAACAAAGATGATTAAGGGACTGGAGCATTTATCTTATGAGGAAGGACTAAGCGAGCTGGGCCTGTTTAGCCTGGAGAAGACTGAGAGGCGATCTGATCAACATGTACAAATACATAAGGAGAGAATGTAAAGAGAATGGGGCAAAACTCTACTTGATGGTGGCCAGTGGCTGGACAAGGGGTCATGGGTACCAGTTGAAACACAGGAAATTCCATCTCCATGTGAGGAAGAACTTCTTTCCTGTGAGGGTGACAGAGCCCTGGAACAGGCTGCCCAGAGAGGCTGTGGAGTCTCCTTCTCTGGAGATCTTCCAAACCTGCCTGGATGCCACCCTGTGCCACGTGCTCTGGGTGACCCTGCTGGAGCAGGGGGGTTGGGCTAGATGATCTCTAGAGGTCCCTTCCAGCCTCAAGCATTCTGTGATTCTGTGTAACTGCAGATTCTGTAGGATTTAAGACATGTAGATGAATTCTGAAATAGATATTGAACACCTTGACATTCATCCTCATAACTAATGCCAGAAAAAGATTTCGCAAGGTTGAGTACAGCCTGGTCAAGTAGAGAATAGAATGGATACAGCTTTGCCAGATAATCCTCTATCCATTTAGAAATGTGGATCTAGCCTGCTGGTCTTCCTGTGTTCTCCACAAATTGATTGGATGGGATAGCTGTTAAACTCAACTTACTCTCGGAGGTGCTATGATTAATATTATGCTGGATTAATACTAGACTCACGAAAGTGTCACAAAATCATCAGGGATGAATGCCTAGAAATGTATACGTACTGTAGGAAATGGTTCTGTCATCATTTTTACTGTACTTTTTGCAGATTATTTTAAATGAATACTCCAGAAAATAAGTCAACTAAAAGTAGTTATGTAACATACACCCTTTGCAGTGCTTTTCTATTCAAAAAAAAAAAAAGTTACTGTAGCAGTAGCTTTACAAATGCTTTGTAGTAGTTTTTAAAAGGTCTTTGGAGTTCGGCAAGTGTCCCACATGTAAAAAGTTGTGTGTCCTGTTTGCTTGAAAGTCAGGTGCCTTCCCAGGTGTAATTTTTTTGCCTAAAATGGAAGCTAAGCTTGGCTGTGGGAATGCAGGAGAGATGCTTCGAAAGAGGCTTAAGCGATATAAAAGCTGATATTTAATAAAGTGGATAGGACCCTGCAGTGAATGAGTGGAAATTCCACTGTACAGAGTTCGAATACAGGAAGCAAGTGATGAGAGCGTTGATACTTACGTTCTTGTTTTGCTGCCATTGCAGGTTTTGTTGGTGCAGAGAGTCACTACAGCAGTCTCTACAAGGCTTCTTTTGATAACATGGCCACCTATCTGCAGAGGAAAGAGGAAAGGTTGCAGCAGCAAAAAAAAAGAAAGGATCTGCAACATGGTTCTAATGGACAAGCAAAAAAGATTAAAACTGAAGAACCGTCACTATGATGCTACCTGTTATTAGCTTGTTACTTTGACCAAGCTGAAAAGAACTCGCCTTGTCCTGAACTGTTTTCAGATGTAAATTTTGGAGGAAGATTTCATTTAAATTTGTATTGAGATTGAAGTTTTTAGGTAACCTGACGTGGCAGTGCCCTGCTTTCAGCAGGTGCTGCATTTATTATATGCCCAAGCTTCTAACAGCAGAAGAATGTTAGTAGTACAGTCCAAGAGTCTCTGATGCATGATAGGTGAATATTGGAGATGTTATTTTCCTTCAAACAGAATTTCCTTTGTGCCTACTATGTTCAGGCTTGCTTCTTCAGGTGGATGTGCACTGATTAAAGTTGACAATTTTTTTTTTTACACTTTTTTTTGAGGCTTGTTAGATTGCACTGCAGTTCTGTTTATATAATAGGATTTCTGCCTGAGTTCTGACTGTGTGCTTCTTACTCATAGCATGTTTCTACAAGGAGTGCAAAGCTAGATTTTACGCACTGGAAAGTAAAAGTGAAAAGTGCCAGCTTCATTCTGTTGGAAGAATATCCTTCTATTGCCGTGTGATCCTAGTATGCCTGTGAAAATGATTTGAGAAGCCCATGAGTGCATTCTGCTTCTTTCAGCAAAACTCTTTCATGATGAAATTGGCCAAGACACATCTTTTTGCGCAGTTATTAGTAAGAGCAGTATGGGGTTACTTGCTGCTTCATCACAAGGCAGGGGATACAGATTCCTCTACCAGCTGTCATCATGTCTGCATGGACTCCAGTGTACTTCAGCTGAGACTGTAAAACCAGGTGTAGAAATCTGTGTGATCTATTAAATATTAAGAATTAGCCTATGAACCACAAGTAGTTTCTAGGTCTCTATATAGCTGTCATCTCTGGACTATGCTGGACACTTATGGATTTTTGCAGTCCAAAATGTTCGGTTATGTTACTGTACAAGACATGGAGGAGTTATAGTTTTCTTTTAGATTATCAGTTGTTCAGCAGTAAAGCAGAGCTTTATCTACCCAGAATTGAAGTTTTGTCCTTATTGTGGGTCCCGCAGACCCGAAGTCTCCCATGCTGCAGGATTTCAGGTGGGTTTTCAAAGTCGTTGTTTGGAGGTGCCCCCCTAAGAATGAAGCACATATGTGTTGGTACAGAGCGAAACCCTCCGAAGTCTCATTTCTTTCAGTAATTCCTTTTATGTCAGGTTGCCTTGGCAGAAGTCTCTTTGGGCAAATCCTGTGAACTCTCAAAAGTGGAATTGTCTGTTCTGGTTAAAAGTCTCCATTCTGGCAGGGGGTGCCAACAAAACGCTAAGTGTTTGAACTGCATAAATGTTATGCAAGAGTGCAATGCCCAGTCCACAGGGATCATGGCCTAATGTAATGTAATCCAAATACCCCTATCCACTCTCTGCATACAAGCGGTGCGAAGCGTCTCGTTTGGGTACCGCAGAATACCGTGTCTCTGGCTGGCAGGCAAGTACAACAGCGAAGGTGGTGGCTGGGTGCGTTTGGGCTAGATGAGGAGTTTTACCTTCTCAGACACAACAACCATTTTAATAAAGCATCTGCCGTAATAGCCTGACTTACGTGATCTGGAGGAAAGACTGGAACTGGTGAAGCCCTGTCTTGAAGCACTTCGAGCAGGTATGGCTTGAAGTCCCTGCCAAGTAGGAATGGCTCGGTATGGCTGGTAAGTGTTATATAATGATGGTAACTATTGAAACTCTCTAATCTTTCTGATCTGATATACGGTGTGGAGGGCAAGGAGGAGGGCAATCAGGGTGACAATTAAGGAAACACAAACGCGGAACACACTTGGTCAAGCTTGAAACTCTGAGGATCCAGTTTGCCCCAAAAATCAGAGAAGCATCAAATGCCTTCAGAGCTGGCAATCATTCGTCCAACAGCTTTTTGGGATAGGTTTTCTGAGAAGAGCCTAGTAAGAAGTAAGGCCTTTTCCCCTGAGGGAAGACTGGAGCATGTGCAACGCTTGTTTTGCTGCCTGGGATGCCTTTACTGTAAATAAATACTCCACTTTAAGAAGGTTGTCGGATCACTGCTAAACCACGAGTTCACACGTGAGAGGGCAGTACTGCAGGGCCTGTGCCTGAGGCGGCAGCTTTGTTCCGTCTGGTAGTGCGCAGATTCAGGCGTAACAGAAATGGGCAGGTTTGCGCACTATTTGCAAACTAGAGAGGGCAAGGACTCTGCTAAATTTTTGAACAAATTTGAATCTGCAGCAGGGGTCCCTGCAGATAACCAGGGTTAGTCGTAGGCAGCACTGCTTACGCTGTTACCGAGTGAGGAGAGGCAGAGAGGCTGTGGCCTCCAGCAGGGGCTGCCAGGGCCGTGCACCAGCTTTCTCTGAGGTGCCCTGCTCACCAGAGGGCCTTCTGTGCCACCCTAACTTCGCCTTAGCAGCTTGGGTGCTGTGTTAGGAGTTCATGTGGATAAACAAAACACTAACAGAGAAGGAAAATCTAAGGAGGATACATTGAAACTCTTCCAAATAATCAGTTCAGGCACTCATTTGGGTAATTTCTATGCCTGTGAGAGTTCTCTTCCCCCCCCCCCCCTTTTTCTTTTTTTTTATTTTTAAGCACAGGATAAAGCTAGGTGATTTTCTTCACTTGCTGTGAGGTACCCTTGCTATCCTGATCCTGACAGCTGTCCTGGAGGAAATGCAAAATCTCTTCCAATGCTTGAACTCTGATGTAGGGTCACAGTGTGTGGGAGTGACGTGGGATGCGATATCTGGCAGATAATTCAGGCTTTTCTTTTCCCCTGGAAATTTTCCTGTCCTTTGTTATTCCTTTTCATCTGTTTCCTCTGCACAGCAATCCTTCTTCACCTGAAGTTGTGAGCCCCTGTGTGTGTGCAGGGTTGCTCCCAAGGGAGCAGTATTTAGAGCATTTCTGGTGGAACCTTGTGGTGTATATTTGCACCAAGCGTAAGGGGGTGGTGATGTCAGCTATGGTGTGGTTTTATAGCAGACCTGTGGACCTCCAAACCATTGCCATGGGTGTTGGTAGGCCATTTATTTGAGCTCACCTCACCTTCCTTCAGAGCTCTGGTGTGCTGGTCATGGTTAGCAGGGGTTTCTGTGGAGTGCTGCATGTGAATACAGGCCTTCATCCTGCATGGGCTGCAGAGGCTCCTGTTCTTGCTGACAGCTGGCTGCTCCTTAGTGGGATCTGCTTCACACAGGTCAGAAGGGGAAGGGATGAGTGGAAGAACTGGTGCCTGTGGAAGAGCATCTCTAGATCCTTTCAGCACAGGGTTTGGCCTTTGCACCTAACCCCAGGGATGGACTCCAGGCTCCTTCTGGCATAGTAGAGAAGCAGACCCAAACCCGAGTCTTCAGCTGGCTGGATGCTCCAGGTGAGCTGTGGAGGGTGCCGCAGCCGGGAAGGCCTGCCAGGTGAGGGGAACAGCTGCGAGCTCCCCGGCTCTCCCCGGGCAGGACAGGCAGCATTTTGGAGCTGAGAGCCCCTGGGGGGCTCCCTTCGGAGCTCCCTTGGCTGAGAGCCCAAGCTGGGGGCTCTGGCCCAGTCCTGCCCACCCTGGGAGCAGGAGCTGGTCCCATGGGCAGCTCCCGAGCCTGCCTTCAGCTCTCAGCTCGGGCCTGGAGGAAAGAGACTCTGGAGGGAGCCAGAGGCTGCTAATCCCTATGGAGCTGGTCCTGGAGAGCTGCTCCGAGGTCTCAGTGGGCCCCTTGTCTTGCCAGTGGCCCCCTCCTCTTCCCCCACGCTGCTGCTCTGCCACCGTTTCTTGCAGCCGGTTCCTCTCTCGCCATCTTTCCTTGGTCAAACCCCCTCCCTGGCACACAAACACTCTTCCACACTTTTCTGGAGCTGACCTCTAGCCCATTCCAGATGTTGGAAAGGAAAAGAGCTACACAATTGAATGTGTTCAGAGGCCAATAGTTCTTGGCTTTCAGTGATTTTGCTTGAGTTATTGTGCCTCTCTGGGAAGTCCTACAAGTACTAAAGAAGAAACTGTAAGTAAAGGCTTTTCTACTCCTGATTGATTCATGTGCCACATCATTAATTTTTGCTTCATGAACTTCGGCACATTCCTTTCCCCTCAGGCAGATTGGGGTTGAAGGAGAAGCTCTGTAGAGAAAAACACCTCTCAATAACTAACATTTATCAAGGCTGTTTTTGTGACTTGATGCTTCATGTTTAAGAAAGATCACAGCACCAGCAATGTTCTTATTTCCTTCTATTTTTCAATACTGCAGAAATTTTTCTTCTCCCCTCTCTCTCAATGGGTATAACAGATGTACTTTGATATGTGTGAGAAAGATGTTCTCAGACATATAAACTGAGTGTGTGCTGCAGCTACCCCGTTTTCTATTTGATATTTACCACCTTGAGCATCAAAGTTGGCGAGACTGATACTTGTTGGAACTGGAAGTTATGTACTGCTGAGTGCTGAATTTGAACAGTCCATGATAGCAAGGTGCATGTACAAACATATTCACTCCCAGAAATCAGCATGAAACAAATATACCTAGAAGAAAACATGATGTTAATATAGTCATGCAGTCTCCCATGTTTCTATGAACAGGTGGCTCTCCAGGGAAAAAAAAAAAAAAAAAACCCTTATATTCACTAGTTTGTTTCTCTGAGCTCTGTCATATTTACAGCTCCTAGCAGGGTGTAGTGTCTCCACATGCTGTCTGTAGGGCTACAGAATAAATAAATAAATAAAAATCAAGTGGTCCAATCCCTGTGGAGCCAGCTCTTTGGATCAGAGCTGTCCTCCATATGTAGAGTGTTGCAAGGAGACCCAAAGTACCTTCTGGCAAAGCAAGCTGATCCTCACCTTGTGTTATATCAGAAAGGGAAAACTTAACTTTATGTATCTTTAAAATAAAGAGAACTTCACCTCGTGTCATCCTTTTGCTTAAACTTAACACGTTTGCAAAATCTATTTAACAGTTTGTGGCCCTGACCCGCCTGGATCTTTGCAAGAGGAGGGGACAGCCCCAAAGCTGCTGGGTGTCTGAGAG